CGATTATTGGATTTTGTTAAATAATATCAAACAATTTAAAAACTGAATTTATTTTAGTATAAAATTTATAATTTGTAAATTATAATATTTTATAACTAATTATTATTTTATATAATAAAATGCGGGCTAGTCGCAAGTGGGTAACGTTTTACTGTATATAATGTCAAGTGGGTGACTATAAATACTATTATGCAGTGTTTGAAAGAACGAGTTTAATTTTACGTGAACTAACCATGAACGCGTTCACTGTTTTATGGAACCTTCTAAACACTGCTATAATGTATATTGTGTTCAATTTGAATTCAGTGGTATATCATTGTATTAGAAATGTGATTTTTAGCGGAAACGGTATTTTAGTCTAGTACTCTAGTCTTTTATATTACCATCAATAATTTATTTAAGTATTAGTACAATGATGGGTTAATTTAATTGTTTTAATTTTTTATTTAAATATATTCATTCAATACTGTTTGGAATTTAGATGAGTAACATATCTTCAATTTAAAATGGACAAGCGTAGTGGTGATGACGATAGTAATAAATACCCTATGAAATTAAAACGTAGCTCTGGATGGGCAAGAAAAAATGAAACTGATAAGACAAAAATTAAAAGCTATTGCTCACGACAAAAATCAACAAAAATTAAATTTTGGATTTATACCTAGCACGCGACCATCTATTGAAGTTGCATTGCATTCTGACACAGTCCTATCAATTACTAATAATGAATCAACACAAAATTCAATAGTAAGTATGTAACCATCAATTTCATAAAAATCATAATTTGTTGTAATCACATAAATATCTTATCGACAACACTAATCCATCACCGACTCGTTATTGTAGTTGTCAATGATTGATGTAAATAAATTAACAAATTTTAATTTTCGGGGGGGTTTTAACCCCCAAACCAACCCTATATACGTGCTCACTTTTAAAATCACCTAAAAATAGGCAAATAATGTTTTATTTAATCGACAACGACTTAGTAATAAACGTAGTCCAGTCTTGCATTCGAGAAATTCTCGAGGGGTAGCTAACATTTTCGTCTTGTACCTAGGAAAGAATAGCAACAATCTTTCTGTTTCCTATTAATTACTTTTACCTACACATTATAGTTATTTTATAAATTATCTAATTATTTAATAGACTAACTGATTTAATACTGTAACTGTAACATACATAATAAGTTGAAATCTAAATTTTAAATAAATTAAGACGATAGATGCGAGATGATTACTTGCTTTAGATGTAGTATAGAATCTACCACGGTGTTTAATCGAGGAAGATTTATAATTTTAAATTCCATTTTTAGAATATTATACATTTAATATAACGTTCTTATCCGATTACTTGTTCAAGATTATGGCAATATTATTATTATGAACCTACCTATCATGATAACACAGGATATAACGAAGGAAATTTACACTGATATAATATATTATGATATTATCATGGTGTTATTTAGTAGACTTGATTCAAATATATTTTTGTAAAAATGAAACCTTCATTTTAATTAGATTAAGAACACGTTTTTGTTGGCATGTGACTATAAACAACAACCGACTTCAACTGAAATGTATTTAAACAACATTAAACGCTTAAAATGATCTATCTAAACAAACACGAGTTTGATCAGTAATCTTCTGTTTGACATATATGAAATCATTATTTTATTAGCTGGTTTGAATAAAAATAAATTAAAAAATATGAAAGTTTTATTGTAAACAGTTTTGTACGTATATACAAAAGGTAACCATTTGATTTTTTACTGTATTAAAATTTTTTGTAGATATCAGTTGAAAAATAATTAGAATTCTGCAGCCCAAAAATAGTTTTATTGAACAAAAAATGGAAATGATAAGAGGTATGTAATTATTGTTGTATATTCGATGGATTTAAAAATGTTTACCCAATAAAATAATAATACTTTAACATTATAAATTATTATAATTATTAGCTAGTTCAACTGTTATGAAGTCGAGAGAAAACGACACAAAATCGTCGTTTATTGTGATAGCAGAAATTAGGGCAATTATTCGTTTAAAGAAGAGTTTGTCAAAAATCATATGGCTACTAGATTCTGACGCCGGAATGGAAGAATGTATTTTCGGACGGAGAGAATTGAGACAACAATTCGACATTTTTGAAAGTAAGAAATTGCCATAAATAACGTCCGGACCAGAATGATAATGCCTGTCGAATGGTTGCATCTTATTATTATCACGACGAGGACATTGTATTCGTGTTTTTTTTCGTTTTGATTTTTATAGAATTAATGTCTGTATATTACAAGTCCGACCAGCACGTAGCGCGTCGTTGTCAGACAATCAAGCTGACTGTGGACAATTTGTGTTCAACAAAATCCTTATTAAGATTGATGCCGACGCCTAAGCCAAAATTTGTATTAGTGTACAAAGCCAATGATGTAGTACCCAAGGCGCCTGCCGCGATATGCGAAAAGAAGGAATTAATCGTGTCCGACGATTTGCTGGGAAAGAATCGCAAGACATCGGTGGTTGGTAACACAAGACGGAAACTGGTCGACGAAAATCTGTTGCCGTCGCGAAAAAGTACATAATAAATAAACAATAGCGTGTACGATATACACCAACGATTGGATAAAAAAAAAAAAATAAAAATAAGCAGGATGTTGTTACGGGAGATAGTAAACTGCAACAAAAAAAAATTTATCATTATACAATCTGCAACAAAACCGATAAGATACACTATATAAGCTGCGGAAATGTATTTTGTACACCTACAATATTATGTACTTTATAGTATGCTATAGTTGTAATAGTTTAATTAATTATGTTATGTTGCGTCTTGCATACAAAATAGTAAAGGAATCCAAATGTATATTTAAGTCTTAACGAAACATACTATAGTCTGTCCAGCGAGAGAACGTGCCGGTTCTGCGCATGTAGAATGACGATCAATCCGTCGCCGAGATCTCGTTTACCCTTCTTAGCTACCTCAATCATTCAAAAAACTATAATACGAAAACTTATTGATTATTGCCACCTTTATAGAATACACGTGTCAGGGGCGGCTCCAGGGGGAGGGAGCTAGGGGCTACAGGCTCCCCCCCAAAGCTCGTACTGTATTTATAAAAAAATGAATATTGTTAACAAAATAGATTTTGTAAAATTATAACTTCCTCCTACCCTAACCATGACTCTAGAGCTGCCCCTGACACGTATGCACACCGAAATTATTATGTTATGCCAATAATAAACTAATATTATTAATCGTTAACGAAGTGGTCTCAGTGAGGAAATCTATGGCTGGGGCACGGGTTGGAAATACGCAAAAATCAATTTTGGTTATGCCGCGGCACGTTCTCTCGCTGAACGGAATATAAATATTGATTCCTTAACTTTTGATAATACTAGAAAACACGTATTTACTAGAGTTAGATGTCAGTAGAAGTAGTTAAATATTTAATTCAATGAGATGGAATTTAGAACAATGTTTTGCTAGAATGGCAAACAATTTTAAATTCAAATTTAAATATGAATCAACATTAAGTGATAATAAAACACGGAAACACGCATGAAGCAACATAACATAATTAATTAAACGATATACGTAAATAGGTACTCATAGGTTGGAATATATGATTTAGATATTATATAGTATAGGTACATTATATACTAGGTATATATAATATCGTAGGTATATAAAATAAATTGCCGAATTTTGTATAATATATCTTATCGGTTATGTCACAGATCATATAATGTTGTATTTTTTCTCGCCGCAGTTCACGTATTGACTTTTGTAAAAGGTTCATTTTGCCACAGTTTATATACAGCCGTTGTTACATTAAAAAAAAAGGAACGTCGGTCCTTTAGTAAGGAGAGGTTGCAATTTTAGTAAACAAAATAGTTTGAATGATCGATACTCTGTACCCTCCTCTTTTAAATCCGTTGAGTACTGGACACGCATAAGGAAAATGGGAAATTTGACAGCACATAGTTCTGACAACCAGCGATCCGACATTTTTTATTATTTTTATATCATTAATGTTTATTAAAATTCTTAAACCTGTGTTTATGCAATCCACTGTATTAGCTAAATAGCAAGATCGCTGTAAGCAATCTTCTCTTTTATCTGATATTATTTTAATTAAAAGACTTTTTTTTTTTTTTTGCTATAAGCTATATGATTATTATTAGAATATATTCTATAATAAATTATATTATTATGGTGCATTGAATTTTGCATTGGCGGTGTGTCATTTCCACGTATAGGTTTCGTATCCAGGTTTGCGTTTCCATTGATAATAGCTGTAATCGCAGTCTCGTTGTTCGGATGGCACCACAGTCTCTACAGTAGATTCAAAGGGACCAAAGGTAAGCCATGATAAAACATTTTTATTTTTATAGCTATAATTTTTTCCCCTTTTTTCTCTTTCTTCACGCACCTAATCATCTTTCGGTCGTGTCCACGTCGCGTGTCTAATGCAATAGTTTCAGATTCTCCGACCGAGACGTACTGCCAAGCATTCGACCGGCTCAGTTGCGAGAACGGCGGATACCCATTGGACAAAGGTTACGGTTTCACGTGCAAGTGCGTCGACGGCTACTACGGTGCACGTTGCTTGCACTCTGGTAAGACTATGATGTGATGTGATACGATGAAACCTCTAGGTCAGTGGTGCGCAACCTGGGGTCGCCAAATTTTATTAGAAGGTCGCTAATAACTTAATACCAAATAAAAAAGTTAAATATTATGTATATTATTTCATATAACTTATGTTTGCATCTTAGATTTTATAAAACTATAATTTTGTATTTTTTTTTTATGTTTTGGATCAATTAAATGAAAGAAATAATAAAATTGCCTAAAATTAACAATATAATTTATATGAATAAAATGTTTGTATACAACAAGTAAGTTTATGTTATATACTTACTTAATGTTGGTAAGAAGAAAGTTTTTTGTAGTTCGCCTCATCTAAATAAATTCATTTATGGGTCGTGGAACAAAAAAGGTTGCGCACCGTTGCTCTTGGTCGTCGAAATAAATATTCGGAGGCGTCCACTATTTAAAAAGAGATCAGTATGTTTGGGAACAGGGTTGGGTTGGGTTTCTGGTGATGGTGGCGATGAAGTGTATTTTAAACGTCAGTATAAAAATGCGAACGTTAATTCTTGTAATAATCCGTTTGGCTTTTGCATTTTACTCCCGCCCAGAGTCGTACTTCTCGGCGGCGTTCCGGTATATAGGCCGTCTGTTCGATAGCACGAACTCGGACCTTCGTAGAGGCATGCCCCTCATGTGGTGGTCGTTTCTTCCATTCACGTCGGATCTCCAGCAGACGACAATCGTTTCGTGTAAGCTACTCATACTCGACGCATGGTCTCCGTCGCGTCCGCTCTGTTATTACGATTATTGCGTTGTTTTGCAGTTTACCAAGAGCATATGAGACGGATGAAAAAAGGAATGTTTTCGGACGGTGGCGGCAATGCAATGACGAACACGAGAATCTTACCACCCGGTTGCCCATTACACAGTCCAACCGACGGTAATTTTTTACGTTTTAATATACCTACGTTTTAACCATATATCTACGCGCCATGCGTGAGGACGCTGAACTCTGAGAACGATACGTTTTTCAGACACACTACCACCATTGGACACGGTGTACGATAACATTATCCGTAGGAAACCCGACGACCTGACGAAACGGGACCCGAGACGCCGGAACATGCTTTGGCACACGTTCTATCAGTATTTCGTTTTGCAATTTCTCGATGAGGATTTCAATTCAACGGTTTGTATATGTGTCGTAGCGCACTCGCACATAACCCGGTGTTTAGAGAGAGGATCTTGGCGATTATCATCGTATTGATTTGATATTCGTTTTGAACAATCAATAAATCACGTGTTACGCGGCCGCAGGTGACGGGCTCCCAGCTGTACGGGACCGATGGAACCGCCCGTGGAGAGTTGAGATCGTTTGTCGGCGGAAAGCTGAGAACCGAACGTCGTCTGAACGACGAGCACTATCCACCGCGGCTTACGCTCATCGAAAAGTTCATCTCGGCGTTTTCCCGGATAAGGGCCGGTGGACCAACTCATTGGGTAAATATCTTCGCCGTTTTACTACCGTCTCGTCGTGGCTGCGGTGTTCTGTAGTAGTATATCTATCTTGCAATTTGAAGGAGGTGCTTTTTATTTGCTTCTTATTGCTCAATAACAAAAAAGACGGAGGTCCAGATAATTATCAATTCAATAAATACTTATTTACAAATACGCGATATATAATAATAACCGCAGTTAATTTGACAATATAATTTTTTAAAAAAATTGATCAGTTCCATACATATTTTATTTTTACTTTTGTTCACTTATAATTAAAGACTGGATTTATATGTATTATAAATTATAAAATATGCATGCAAAAATGCACTAAAATAAGTCAAAATATGCAAGAAAAAAATGCAAAACATACAAAATAAAATTTCAATTTTTATTAAACTTTATATTTGATGTTGCAGTGATAATTATTTACTAATTTTATTAAAATTTTCAAAAGCAAAAAGTGAGATGCAAATATGCAATATGGAAACGTAATTTGTTAAATTATAGAAATTATAGAAATAACAAATTGAAAAAAAATGTACAAATAAATTTTAGTAAGAACATATAAGATGCAAATATTTGATTACCCATTTATAAATAATAATAGTTTATACTTACAATCTGTAGTCGATATAATATGTAATAATAGTAAAAATATTACCCTTCGTCGCGCACAGTTAATGCTTCTGTAAACGCGAAATGACGTCTTGAATCGAATATAATAAAAAAAAAAAAAGCAAAGTCTTTGATCGCTTGCACGGTAGTTCGACAGGGTGGCCGAGTACGCGACGACTGAGGGCCGGGATCTCGACGTCGGGTGGTACGCGCTGTTGGCGGATGCCGTGAACCCACGCCAGCGGTCCGTGGGTCATCCGCTGTTGAGCACGGACCCGATGCTGTTCGCGATGCACACGCTGTGGGTGCGCGAACACAACCGCGTATGCGACCAACTGGCCGCGCAGCATCCGGAATGGACGGACGAGTGGCTATACGCCGCGGCCAGGCGGATATTGGTCGGCCAGATGATGGGCATCATGATCAACGACGTCCTGAACGTGGGCGGCAACCGGTGGCCGTCCAAGCACGACTCGGCGGCACGGTGGGCCGCCGGCGATCGTCCGTCCACCACGCCCTTGGAAATGTTGCTGACCATGATGATGCCGTCCGGTGGTGCCGGTGCGCATACAGGGTTCGAGAACGCTAAGGCGGGCTCGACGTCTTTCCATCGCGACAGCAGGTCGGTTGTTCGAAATTGTTCGCTCAGCGTTGCGGTCGAACGGTCTCGTCGCCCGACGACGCACGTCCGTTGTTCAACGGTCGAGCGACGAGACCGCGAGACAATGCGTTCTTGATAGTATATTATATTTTTTTTCTTTCGTTTTACGTTTGCTAACACATGCACACTTCTGTTGCACGCCAAAACATATCGTTAATGGTATAATAATCAACGCGAACAACTGCTAGTTTCGTTTTCATCTTCGAAAAAGCGCTACGTTTTGTGCGTTTTTTTTTTTTTTTTTACTTGTCGATAAATCAACTGCTTTTCTACGTTCCGGACGTATCCAAACAGTCGAGATAAAATCCTGTTTGGAAAATATATGAAATACGTTGAGTCTGTCTGATTTTAATGTTTTCAGCCGATTGTTGGATAGCGATATAAGCGATACCGTCAAGCTGATGGTGGACCAACCGATGGGCGCAATGAGTAACAACAACGGCAGTGCCGAGACGGAGCCGTTGACGAAGGTTCTGATGAAGCTGTCGAGAGAAAATTCTGTGCAGAGCTTCAACAGATATCGGACGCACTTGGGTCTGCACGCTTATGGAAGCTTTTACGAGCTCACGGGCAATCGTGAAGTTGCCAGGAGATTGGAATCGTTGTACGAGAACGTCGACAACGTGGAACTGTTGGTCGGAATGTTTGCGGAGAAAACAAGTGATAACTCTGTTCCCACGTTTACGGTAATGATGAATAGCTATATCGTCAATTCAATTGTGACGAATCCTCTATACACCAAAACCATGTGGAATTCCGATACGTTTGGCGGCGATTATGGGTTTTCCTTAGTAAAGTCTGCCAGCATTAGAACGTTCATCTGTAATAACTTACAAGATGAATGTGACAACAATGAGCTTATTGTTGACCTCTATACTAAATAAATATATTTGTATTCATCTATACAAGGTGATTTCATCATAGACCTTATACTCATAGACCGGCCCTGTGAATTAAAATCTGAACCGTGATAGAGGCGCTGGCAGCGTTATGATAATTGACGCACGATATAAAAATTATTGTGCATACCATAAAAGATCTATGTATAATATGAGTGTACGATTATTAGACATCAGCTGTTATTTGATTTTTCGATTATTCCAGGTTTTGAATTTTTAACGATTTATATTTTTATTCTATAATAGGTATAATATCATTTTAATAATTTTTCAATATGGTTTACAAATGCCTCATTCCATTTTGTAAACAAGTTTACAATGACAACTATTATCCAATAAAATTGCACAAGTAAATAATAAAACATTAGTAGATATTGTAGTAATATAATTTAAAAAAAATAACATTATAAAATAGGTTATTATAGATTATTGTAATAATAGGTTTATTGTTATAAAATAGGTTTCCAATAGATGAAGAGGTCAGAAATTTGTGGATGGACAAGTGTTTCATTTCAAATGTTTTGATTTCTTATAGAATTTGTAGCAATCACTTTAATGAACATGTTATTGTGATTGATAAGAGAATAGTGATTAATGATTATCACAAGTTGCAATGAACACAATTGTGTTACTATAATTATTAACATTATAACAAGCGTGCGTTGTCACGCGCGCACAGAAATTGGGGGTGTGCATCGGTCACTTTATAAGCAAGGCCGGTCTATGAGTATAAGGTCTATGGATTCAATGTATAACAACATACATTTCACACTATACAAAGTGGTAAAAAACATCTAATGTTATACACATAGGCGTGCGCAGGAATTTTTATGGGGTGTGCCATAAAGAAAATGTGGCTACTTTCCTTTATTTGAGACATACCAAATTTCACCTAACCTTCCCTCCTAAAAAAAAATGATAAATTTGAGTTAACCTACGGTTACACCCTGTGTGCATGCCTATGATTAAACAGCATTAAAAATATTTAAAGTAATGATAATATTTTATCATATACAGAGTGGAAAATAAGCATGATAATCTATGTCATTTTCCTAATCTGTGCATTAAATAAGAACATACATTTTTATACTTTTATTTGTATAACAAGACTGTCGTTATTAAATGATTTATAGAAAAAAATTAGTAATAGTTTTTAGGATAGTCAAAAAATATTGCCACCACTAAATTGTATTTAGGATTTTCATGCAATTTGATACATAAAATTTTCACAATTTTGGCACCACCATTGTGTTTAGTGGGACTAAAAATAAAAATAATATTGTGTCAAATTTTTAGTGTAGAATTTTGCAATATTATTTCAATAATAAAACATAGATTTGAAATAATAACAATTTCTCAATAAAAAGTTACTTTTTTTTTTTTTTTTGAAATCATTTAATAACTACGAGTACAGTATTATTAAAAAGAATAAAAATGTATGTTCTTCTTTGATGCACAAATTATAATAATCACATAGATTATCATGCTTTTTTTCCACCTTGTATATGATAAAATATTATAATATTATAATAATTATTATAAATATTTTTTAATGCTGTCTAACCATAGGCATGCGCACAAGGTGTAACCCAAATTTATTCTTTTTTTTTTTTTTAGGAGGGAAGGTTAGGTAAAATTTGGTATGTCTCATATAAAGGGAAGTGGCCACATTTTCTTTATAGCACACCTCATATAAAATTCCTGCACACACCTATGTGTATGAAAGAAATTTCCAGTTTTTTAAATAAAGTCATAAAATAATTTATAAGTTTCTTATACCTATGGTATTTACTTTGTTTAAAACTTATAACAAAAAGGTAACTCATATAAATAAATGGTCGACGAAAAAATATTGATAAAATTAAAAATTATTTAAAATATGCATCTAAAAGTACGTATAAAACGGAAGAAATATGCCCTAAAACCAGAAAAACGCAAAACATGCATTTATATAGACAATAAAATTTCAAAACTAGCTTTGTGGAACCATGAAACATATTTATTTTGCACTTTACTATTTTTGTGACTGTGCAAAAAAAAATATACAAATTCTACAAGTCCTCTGCTTTATTAATAACATATAAAATAAAACTCCAGATTTAACGATGCAATGCTGGCCAGTTGCTATCTGTATCCAATTTAAGTAATTTTCACATACACACTGGGCCGGCTCAAGGTATAGGCAAACTAGGCACCTGCCTTAAGTGGTACATATAATAATAATCATAGCCTATCGACTGTTTTGTTTGGACTACAGCGGAACAATAGTGATTAATAGGACAGAGAACTTGTAGCTCTAAAAAAGTGCTAAATTTGCAAGCATATATATACTTAAAAATCCTATAATATGCACTAAAATATGCTCTATAAATATTTTAAATGTTAATAATAACATTAAATCGTTTTTAATGTCAGAATAATTATAGTATAGGACTTAACCGTCAGTCAAAAATATATCATCATCAAATTTCGATAAATAACTTTTTAACTGAATATTAAAAGATTGTTTACCTTTCGACATTTTAATATTAAAACGATACACAAATACGTAAAGTTGATATGAATTATGAATAGATGCACATACGCAGACGGTAGAACTAAAACTAAATGGCTAAAATACAAAATTATTAAAGAAAGATTCAATGCAATTTTTAGTATCTTAAAAAAAGTTCCTAGCATATTTTAGAATTTACCAAGTTCCGTCAATAATTGTATGATATAGATAACGAGTTTATTTTTTAAAAATAAAATTTATCAAATAGGCGACCCTAAAGACATATTTTTAGGAAAAGCATACGTCTACGACTGTCAACAACCATATTATATGATCAACATTTTTTTTCTTTATTCAACAATATTTCGGTCTCACATTAGATGAAATAAAAACGTCGACGGAAAAGTATTGATAAAATTATAAAATTATTTAAAAGTTTTATCTAAAATTATAAAGTGGAAGAAATATGTCTTAAAAACAAAAAACAACTCAAAATATGCATTTATATGTTATATAATATTTCAAGACCAGCTTTGTGAAAGCATGAAACGTATTTATTTCGTACTATACTATTTTTCTAATTGTGCAAAACAAATATGCAAACGCTGCAAGTTCTCTGCCCTAGAGCAACAGCGTATTTATGTGGGAGGGATTTAGGGGATCAATCCCTCCTTAGTCTTTTTTTCCTTAAGAACATCTTATCGGACTAGCACTTTTATTAGTTTATCAGATAATTGACATAAATATTAATAAAATAATTGATGAACCAGCAACTAAACAAAGAAACTAGATTTTGTATTATAATTGCAAATAATAAATAATTATAATTAAAATAAATATTTGTAGTGTATTCAATTCACGTTCGGCGATCGTCGCGTGCACCCGCCTAGCACGCTCCGTTCTTGTGTTTCATTATTTTTATTTTTCCGTCATTACATTTACTATGTCAAATATGTGAAATCCACAAATCGACGTTTACACTTTTAATTTAACTTATGTGAAATTACAAATTTCAATATTGTCTCTATAGTTGTTTATAAATAATATAAATAATAAAAATTCAATAACAAGCCGTCGTCTACCTACATTTTTCGCTATTACATACAACATGCCGTTTTAACGAGTCGTCCTTATAGCACGCCGCGGACGACGACGGCGACTTATCGCTCGTCGCGGGCGGCGGTAACGACATTGTTCGTATTGTACATTAATTATGTCGCAATCAACGTACAAAAATAAAAATTCAAATTTGATCACCACAAATACTAACGACACTAGTAAACCACAGACTGTTGGCCTAAACAAGACTCCAATAACTAACAACAGTGGCCGTCCAGTCAGCAACCAGGATATCACCAACATGAATAATTCTCCTTCTCATTCTCCATCAGACAGTTGAACAAAGATCTCGTCAAAAAACAAAAGAAACTTGTCCTCTTCATTTGAACAAAATTCACCAAAAATTCAAAACAACAAAAAATTATTTTTTACTTCAAACCGTTATGAAGTTCTCTCACAAGACGAACCAGTGTCTGCTACCACATCAAATACTATCCAACCGGACTCTCCCGTGCAGTATACGGAAGAAACCCTCAACGTCGGTATCAAACCAACTCTACCTCCACCAATTTTTGTTCGAGGCGTTATCAATTTTACAGACCTTTGCGCAATCCTTATTGAACTAATTGGTGTAAATAATTTCTACTGTAAATCCTCGACAGATCGCCTAAAAATTATGACAAATAACCCAAATTCCTATAAAATGCTGATCTATTTCCTAAAAGATCAAAAAGCAGAATATCACACTTATCAAAAACGCGTATAGGTATGTTTTAGTATAATTATATTTTGAAAATATTAGTTTTGTTAATTTTTTACTGTTATAGATATAGCAATATTTTTTAGTAACATACTTATTTTGCTTGTTCAGGTATATGATTAATGAGGATGTAATTCAAGATGCTGCATTTTTTGATCCAAGAACATTTTCACAATTAAAAACTCCCCGATTCATGTTTCCAGAAGGGTCATTGTCCAAAATCACATCCATGGCCAATGTCGATATTTTAGATATTCAACGTCAGTTAATAGAATTTGCTACAAATTACGAGGCCATAGCAAATATAGATGCTAGTATTTTGTATCAAGATTGTAACGATAAATTTTTCGAAGAAAATGAAAACCACACAGATATGGGAGATGATTTAAAATGTGCATTATCCGAAAAAAATCGTTGTAAATCGTGCATTTCATGTTTATTCTTATATGTATACACAATAATGACTCATACACCAAATTACAATGTTATATACGGTATACGATATACGGTATATAAGGTAATATTAAGTTTAGATTTTACTCAAGTAAGTTGTGAAAGGAGTTTTTCAATACTTAAAACTATAAAAACTAGACTTAGGTCAACTCTTTCTAAAGACAAATTAGAAGCATTCATGTTTATGAACCATGAACATGGCTTGATTGTACCTCATAT